AATTTGAGATACAGAACCAAGATGGTGAGCCACACATGAAGCAGTGACCTTTTCCCTCATCCTCTCAATCACAGAATTTACTTCTGCTATGGGATGAAGGAGCAGGGGGTGAAGGGGACAGAAGTTTCTTTCTCAGTTCTTTCACAGAGCACACAAGTTCTAGAAAGGTTGCTGTTTTATTGTCAAAGGACAGAAAATGGTTCCTACTGTATCCCCAAACTTTTTTAAAAATTTATATCAATATTTTATTTTACAATAGTTTTAGAGTTGCAGAAAAGTTTCCAAGTTGGTAGAGTTCCTATACCCCCCATCCACTTTCCTCTACTGTTGATATCTTGTGTTACTATGGTACATTTACCACAACTAGTGGATCAATGATAATGTATTATTATTAATGAAACTCCCTCCTTTATTTGGATTGCATTAATTTTTCCTCCAATGTTCATATTCTGTTCCAGGATCTTATCCAGGTTACCACATTTCATTTAGCCTTGGTATTTCCTTAGGCTTCTCTGGGCTGTGACACTTCCTCAGACTTACCCTGGTTTGATGTACTTGACAGTTTTGAGAAGTATTAGACATTTTTTTGAATGTCCCTCAATTTGTGTTTGTCTGATGTTTCTCCTGTGTTTGACTTGGGTTATGTGTTTTTGCAAGGAAAATCACAGAGATGAAGTAGTAATCCCATTGCTAACCCATCATATCAAGGATTCATGCTCTCGGTGTGACTTATCACTGCTGATGTTAAACTAGATTGTGTGGCTGAGGTAGTATTTGTCAGCTTTCTTCACTATTGAGCTACTTTTCTCCTCTTTCCATACTGTACTATTTAGAAGCAAGTCACTAAGCGCAGCCTATACTTAAGGAGTAGAGGGTTGTGCCCTATCCCTCCTCTTTAAGGGAAGAATATCTAATTAAATTATTTGGAATACTTCTGTAGGAGAGGTTTGTATCTTTTTCCTCATTTTTTATATCGGTATGTATTCAATCATGTTTATTTTATACTTTGGGTTATAATCCAATAATATGTTATGCAGGTTATTGTTCAAATTATCTCAGCTTTTATCCTTGGGAGCTTTTGCAGTTGGCTTCTGTGCCTATTCTTTAACTTTTGCTTCTTAATCAATTTGATTCACCAAGTTTAGGGTCCACCGGAAACATGCCCTATTACCTTATGGGTGGCGTGGGTTAGAGCAAATCAGCACTTCTCAGGGCATTCTTGATACCAACAGCTGGTGCTTTGGCACAAGTGGTGACATTTCAACTTTTGTCAAAATAATAAATAAATCAATTTCAAGAACCATGTTGGAAACCATCCTAGGAAAAATATT